TTTTCTCAAATATATTATTTACAAAACATAGAAAAAATAAAATACAACAATACAAAAAAAATACAAACAAATTTCCCTTATTTATTCAAATTTTAACCCAGGCTCCTCTGTTTATTGCTCCCAACAGACATATGAACAGCAGCAGCTCTTACAGAATTGTTGTGTTCTGGTACATGCAGACATTAGTACCACAGAGGAAAGTAAAGTCACCAGAYAGGAGGCTGATTGCAGCCAGATCATCATTTAATCATTGSCAGAATCATCTGYTGTATCAGTAACAGCTCCAACACYTCAACTAAACTCAACATCAGATCRTTCATGGTGACAAAACAGTWTAACTTTTTGATGAAAGTTTTAACAAGCGTCAGATTTGAAAGATCGTAACTTTGCGACAGTTTGTGCCATCAGAAAAATTTTGACTGTGTCTGCAAGCTACAACGCTGCTCTTTACAGCCAGCATACAGTTATTACGGTAAATTCGCTCCCGCTGCTGTGAGATGTCGGTGAAAAAAAGTCTGTCTCTCTCCTCCCAGAGTCCTCTGCCTCTTCCCACACACACAGCTTGGAAGCACAAACAGCTGATGGTGACGCAATCGTACCGTCCCGCTCCTGGAGGAGAGGCGGTCAGTGAGAGAGCAGGTGTTGTTTTGATCTGGGGCTACTGACAAAACATCCGGGGCTAAAGCCCCGGAAGCCCAGGTCTAACGACGCGCCTGCTCTTGACCAAACAAAGCCCTTAGGATGAAATCTTGATTTATTAAATGACATAATGGTGTTTATTAGGGATGTCCCGATACCACTTTTTCACTTCCGAGACAATACCGATATTACAACTTTGAGAAATGTCCGATACCGATATTGACCGATACCGATATTGACCCGTTACCATAACAGTACAAGTCACACACTTTTACCTATTTTGTAATGTAAAATCTTAGAAAAGTCTTGATCAAACAGTGAAAAAGAGTAGGTATGAGAAAATCTGACCCATTTATTTTTAACCAATGGATG